CCGTGGCAGCTACAGAAAGGCAGGTGCACTTGGCACAGGAGGGCGAGGCAGGTGCAGACAGTGCCTGCCAAGGCCTGGGGTGCAGTGGAGGCCCGGAAGGTCAGGGTGGCCTAGCCTAGCAGCTCCCCGTCAGGTCGCCTCCCTGGGTGCTGCAGACTGTCCCCCCACTGCTTGCCCCCCCCAGAAGGCACCTGCACCAGCCCCACCCCCTGCTGGGCCGGCTGCCAGCGCATGCCCCCTACTGCTTGACACTAATAACAGGCTGCTCCCTGCGCTCCAGGTGCAGGGCAGGGCACAGAGCTCAGGCCTCCAGAACCGGCACCCCCTGTGCTCAGCCCCCACCCAGACCGCCCGGGGCCATCTCTGCCTTCCACTACCCCCCTGCCCAGGCTGAGTGTGTGCTTCTGTCCGTGGTCGTTCCTTGTAGGTTGTGTGTGAGCTTCCGCGTCCATCTGCGTGTGTCCACCCCGTCCTCCACTCTGGCCCCAGCCCACTGGCCCTGGCCTCCTGCCGCCCCTCACCCTCTGTCCTCTGTTCTTCCTCCCGCCCCGCGCCGCCCAGTTCTCGGAGGGGAGGTACTGGATGTACTCGCCCCGCCACCGCCGCCTGCGGGCCGTCTCGCCGAGCTCCTCGGGGACTGTAAGTGACCGCAGCCGCCCCGGGACGAGCGCCAGGGCCTACGCTGCCCGGCCACCCTGGTCTCTGAGGGGACTCTGGGGACATCGTCACGCGGCTGGCCTGGTCGGGTGCCCACTGTGCGCCCCTCACAGAGGCTTCAAGGCGAGGGCCCGACACGGGGTCTGCCTCTGACCCCAGCTGCTCTCTGACCTCCAGCCCACACCCACCCCTGCCCTCCGCCAGCCCCCTGGGGGCCAGGGACAGTGGAGCGGCTGCGTCCTGGCTCACGCATGTTTGGCAGTCAGGGCAGCTCAGGGACCTGCTGGGCTCCTTCTCCAGGGCTGAGATGGAAGGGCGGGTCAAGAATGCCCCTCATTGCACACCTGGTACCTGGGCTGCAGGTCCAGCCCCGTGTTCTCCCAGGCTTGCCGTGGGTTGGGGTGGAGAGGAGACATCTTTGGCCAGTGGTGTGAGAGAGGACGGTCCAGAGCCGGGG